GAAGGAAGGAAGGAAGGAAGGAAGGAAGGAAGGAAGGAAGGAAGGAAGGAAGGAAGGAAAGATTGAAGGCAAATGAGGTCCAGGCGGAAGAAAAACATGGCTTCAAAATCTAAGGGCCTGGTTTAGACAAAACTCAACAGCACTTTTTCATGTGGCTGTTGATAAAAATAGGATTGCCAACATGATCACCAATGTCTAATGATGGATATGGTACAAGAAGAAGATGATGTGAAGGAAAGGAATTGGCTAGACAAATTGGTCAGACAAATTAAGAAGGATATATCATTTGATAGGATAGTGACAGTGAGGGCTAAACATCAAAAATATCAGGCACTGATAAAGAGGAGCAAATAAATTTTGAGAGGCAGTGATAAGAATTAAGACTGTTGTGAAGTTTCCAAAGGATGGCCTAATTAATTTACGAGCCTCGAGACAAAGTTAAAAAGAAATCCATTTATTAGGATCAACATTTTGGCATGTCTTCCTGTGGAGCCGAAAATGATTTCCGCTTAATTGCGTTTGAACTTTACCCCCAGTATCCCCTCCCTTCTGTCTGTGTTATAAATCACATTCACCAACAAGATGCTATGCCAGACTATGTACATACGCATTTCACACATCAGCTGTAGGAATATGAGACCTGACTCTGGCCAAAGGTATGCATGGAAATCTACTCCCTTTTTCTATGTTGACTTGATAGTAGTTATGGAAATGCTTTACAAGTTGACAATTGTCATGTTTACAAAATAATAATATAAGTTCTGTAAGCTAGTTTCCAAAAGCCAAAGATAAATAAAAGTAATAATTGAAGCACAGTATTCAACTGTGTATTCAACAAATATTCACCTGAAATATTGATTGCTTATTAAAAATAAATTTGAGGATACTGGAATATGAACATTTAATGGGTACAGATATATTAATCATTACAATGGACCTCAGTAACTGCTCCAGAAGTTAATAATTTCACAACAGATAGCTGGCAAAATCTCAGGAGAAGATATGTTACTACTTTCCAGTAGTAATGTATGGCTGTGAGAGTTGAATCATAAGGAAGGCTGAGTGCTGAAGAATGGATATTTTTGAATTGTGCTGTTGGAGAAGACCTGTTGGAAGAGTTCCTTGGACTGGGGGAGATCAAATCAGTCAACCCTAAAGAATGTCAACTCTGGCTGGATGGATAGATACGGAAGCTGAAGCTCAAATACTTTGGCTACCTAAGGAAAAGACTCATTGGTAAATACGCTGATGATGGGAAAGACTGAAAGGAAAAGGAAATGGCAGAGGATGAAATGGTTAGATAGTGTCATTGACACAATGAACATGAATTTTGGCAAACTCCGGGAGACAATGGAAAATGGGATACTGGCATGCTATGGTCCACAGGGCCATAAAGAATCGGACACAATTTAGCAACTGAACAACAATAAAAATATTTTAAACAGACTGATTGGATAGGCAGATTGTAGAAGAACAGAAGGCAAGCTTCAGAAAATGATATATATGATAAATCAGTGTTTACAACTCTGATTCACAGATCAATGAATGCTTCCTTAAAATGCCTATTTTTAGCATTTATTGACTCATCACTTGCTTTTGATACAACATAGAGGAAAATGATGGGAGATATTTCTAGCTACTGATGTAGATTACATATATATACATTGATGAAGATACTTTAATGCAAATATGGATAAACCGAAATATCTCCCTAACAAAACATTAAACCACAAAAGGTGTCCATCACGGCTGTATACTGGCTCTCTTCCACTTTAATTTTTATATAAACAAAATGTTTATAATTAACAATGTTAATAATCCTTTTTATGCCTCATCAGCTGAAAGTAGAAAAGTCTTTATTACACACAGACAACTTTGTAATGTTGATAACATTAACTCAAAAAAGGAGATTCCTGATAAAACTTGTAATAAGTCATAGGTGGAAAATTTGATCCCTTACTTATTGCACTCCAAATTGCATCAGGAACAGTGTTTCTCAACCTTGGCAACTTGAAGATGTCCGGACTTCAACTCCCAGAATTCCCCAGCCAGCTGGCTGGGGAATTCTGGGAGTTGAAG